ATTGGAAAGTGAAGAGCAGAAACCAGAAACTTGAATTATTTTTTATGTCTTCATTTTTAATGGGAAAGCTGATTTTCATGGCATAGAATAACCTGTATTCCCACCCGGCAAGCGTGGTCTGTCTTTCACTTTAAAAGGTCTGGATCCTTCTGGTCATCTGATTCAGGTCGAGCAGGACTTGGCATCGCCAACAGCCGGAGCCCACCGGAGCAGCCCCCAGCCCCTGCTGCCGCCTCCCAGCAGGAAGGTGGGGAGCTTTTTCAATCCCTGGAGGATTGAGAGGTAAAATATCTCTGGGTTCTCTTTCTGTTTGCTTTCCCTGTGGGGGGTTAATGAAACCATTGAGATTTGTGAGGGTTCATCAAGGCGATGGTGTGGCAATTATCAATTATTCCCAGGCCATGCCATGCATTTGCCACTGTGCTCCCACCCATGGTTAATGCACACCCCATGCCTGCAGCCCCTGAGATCCCCCAAAAAACGGGATGCTCTGACCTGGAGAGCAATGCTGCTGCCCTGAGGAGTGATGTGAAGGCACCCAGGCAGGGAGGAGGGTGGATGGAGGGAGCAAGGGAGGGAGCCACGACTGGAGCTGCCCAAAGCACGTGGCTGTGACCTAGTGGGGAAGATAGGGAGGCTCGCTTTACATCTGCTGCACACTGCAGCTCTCATCCCCTTCTCTCTCTGCCCGTGCCCTGCCTGCAGGCTGGCCCCCATTCTCAGCAGTGTCCCTTCCATGGACCACCACCCAGCATGAGCACGGACGCCCAGCAGCTCCCAGTGGGGGCCCAGGTGGCTGGCGTGCCCCTCTGGACCGTATCCAGCTGGGCTGTCTCTGAGGTGCCCCCCAACACCAGTGCAGCCACAGGGGAGGCTGGCTGGCAGCAGGGGCAGGCAGAGTGGGGTGGCAAGGCAGGCGAGATTGCCAGCATGGTGGTGATCCAGTGCATCTACGCCCTGGTGTGCCTGCTGGGTCTGCTGGGCAACTCCCTGGTGATCTTCGTCATTCTGCGCTATGCCAAGATGAAGACAGCCACCAACATCTACCTGCTCAATCTGGCCATCGCTGATGAACTCTTCATGCTCAGCATCCCCTTTGTGGCCACGTCGGCCGCCTTGCACCACTGGCCCTTTGGCCGGGCTCTGTGCCGCACCGTTCTGGGCGTCGATGGGCTCAACATGTTCACCAGTGTCTACTGCTTGACTGTCCTCAGCCTGGACCGCTACATTGCAGTGGTGCATCCGCTGCGGGCAGCCACCTACCGCCGTCCTCGAGTGGCCAAGATGGTCAATGGGGGTGTGTGGCTCCTCTCCTTGCTGGTGGCTTCACCCATTCCCATTTTCGCCGGTACAGCAACCACCCGTGATGGCCAAGCTGTGGCCTGCAACCTCCTGTGGCCAAGCCCAGCCTGGTCAGCTGCTTTTGTGGTCTACACCACCTTGCTGGGCTTCCTGCTGCCAGTGTTGGCCATGGGGCTGTGCTACCTGCTGATCGTGGGCAAGATGCGGGCAGTGGCGCAGCGGGTGGGCTGGCAGCAGCGACGGCGCTCCGAGGGCAAGCTGACGCGCCTGGTGCTGATGGTGGTCGCCATGTTTGTGGTCTGCTGGATGCCCTTCTACGTGGTGCAGCTGGTGAACCTCCTACTGCCCGGCCGCCTGGATGCCACCATCAACAATGCCTCCCTTATCCTCAGCTACTCCAACAGTTGTGCCAACCCCATTCTCTATGGCTTCCTTTCTGAAAATTTCCGGCACTCCTTCCATGGCGTGCTGCGCCGCTGCCTCGATGCCAGCCTCTGCTGCTGCCACACTGGGCCAAGGGCCATGGAAGAGGAGGAGGATGAAGAAGAGCCCCTCGACTACTGTGCCACTCCCCGGGGAGATGACAAGGGCAAGGGCTGCATGTGCCCACCCCTGCCCTGCCAGCAAGAGCCCATGCACCCTGAGCCCTGCTGCAAGCCTGGACCCCTCATCGCAAAGACCACCACTTTCTAGGGTAACCCCATGGGTATCTCTACCAGGCACAGGCAAAGGGGACCCCGGCTGGAGCGGGGGGCAAACGGCTGTACCCCATGCCACCCTTCCTCACTTGTGCTGTGCCATAGGACAAAATAAAAAGCCATAAGACTGGCCAGTGATACAGTTAATTATGTCGACTGAGTAATTATTGTCATTACCTTTGGCAGCAAGGAGCCTGCACTGGGATCAGGAATAGTGAGGATTTCAAAATGCATAAGTGAACAGTGATCACAGCTACAGGGTGGGTGGCTCTTCAGCACAACAACAGGCTAGCTTCCCAGTTCCTTCCCAAAAAATGTGCAGAAAGATGGAGCAAAGTCCTAAAGCCCATCAGCCCAGCTATGTCTGTAGTACAGCGAGGGGGCGAGACCAGCCAGGACTTCTACATGAGCTTTGCAGGGCGTTGCGAGCACAGGATCATTTTGACCTCTTTGGAGTCCCAATATAAAAAAGCAGGGCATCTAAGCAACTCAGATCAGAGCTTGAGACTGCACAAACTGAGCCTTGGCAGGGCCAGGGTGTCCCAAACCCTCATTCAGCTGATGGGGAAAAGGACAAAACGTAGGTATCACCAAGAAATCTCTCCCACCATCCCCAGAAATTCCCAAGCAAAGGGATTTTAGCACACACAGGGCCAAAATTGTTACTTTCCACAAGAAAACCCAGGAGAACCCAATCCTTCTATCTCTGCTTCAGGTAACCATCATTTTCAGTGGTACCTGAAACCCACAGATACTTGAGTTGAGGAACAGTACTGGGGCTCCGCCAGCCTGGCCGCTCTGAGGTAGCATAAAATCAGCCATTTCCAGCTTATTTGGGTTTAACTTTGTCCTTTTAATGTTCTTGTTCTCCATTATTTATGGCTCATTCCTTCTATTTTAATCACACTGGTGTAATAACCAGCACAGCATGTTAGCAGCCAAAAAGCCTACAGCTCCTTTTCTTTTTGGCTCTGGCAAGGTTTGTGATTTCTGGAGCTCTGGCTGCAAGATGGGCTGGTGCTCAGTGAGGGAAAACAGGCATTTCAGAGAGGAGGAGAAAGAATATTTCATTAGCAGCTTTCCGTCAACCAGACTGTAAAAGCTTTATTGGTCTACACACAAAATCACCATGTGATTGTGCATTGCGTAGGGTATATTTCCAATAAATAAATAAGTATTTACAAATGTGACGGGTGTATAAAACAGTGGGTTGAACCATTTACATTAGAAAAGATACAGTTCACAATACGCTTATCTTTTTTTTTTTCTTTGGAGACTGCAAAGTAGCTCTAGCAAATTGGGAAGAGGAAGCACCGCACGATAGCATGTAAGGGCTATTCATGGGCATCAAGCTGTCAGCACCCGCTCTGCCGCTCGCCCCATGCCCTCACCAACAGCTGCCGGCTTCACCCCACCACAGCTGCCGGAGAAGGACCCCTACCCCCCAGCCCCACCAGCTCAGCTTTGAAGATCTGCCCCTTGCCTCCCCCTGCCCTGAACTATGGAGCTGGAAAAATGCACAAAATAGTTTTCCATATTTCCCCCCAGTCCGTGGCTGGGAAGCAAGCAGTGGTTCAGATTTTGCCCCCCCCAAGAAAGTTTTGCTGTGAGCTTCAACATGGATTGAACTCAGCCCTGGACAAGACTAAAGGAAAAACTGGAAAATAAAACTGTGGACAGAAGGAGTCAGTTAAGCAGGTTTGTGGAAAAAAAAACCAAACACACACCAAACAAACAAAAAACACAAAAAAAACCAAAACCAAAACAAACCCATCAATGGGAGAAAATCATGGAAGAAACTGAGTGAGGAACACGAGACTCCCTTGCGCTGCAAACAGCCTCTCTTACCATGGACAAAATTACCCTGGAGTTCTCGGTATCCCCATTTAACCTCTTCACCTCTCTATAAAAAGCCCCAAAACTGTAAGGGGGAATAGAAACCAGGCATTTTAGCCCTCGTGATGACATTTAGCAGATTCCCTGCTGTCACTAGTGATTTAAGGTGAAAAGTGCTTAGCTGCCAGAGGTGAGAAGAAAAAGATAGGGGATGGAATAAAAACAGAGACTTCTGCCAATTAGGCAGAGGGCAGAGGAGCGAGGCAAAGTGTTTACTGCAAGATCTTTGCTCCTTCTTCCATAACCCATCAGTTTAAAAAAAACCTAAACTGAATCCAGACAAAGGCAGGAGCATCCCAGCTTCTCGCTACCTTAGGGAAATCCTCATCTCCAGCCTAGTCGCACACTTCCCAGCTGAGGGTGGGGGGAACTGAGGCCAGGAGACCTTCCGTGGTCTGCAACGACTCGTCTGGCCATGGCTCGTGTGCTCTTGCCCCACACTGATGAGGATTTAAATTACTCCAGATGGAGACATCCCTTCTGTAACAAATGCACAGTTTTTCCTTGCCCTTGCCCTCTCCCCTCCCCCCCCAAAAAAAGCTGCTGCCTGTGAAGGGAGCAGAACTGGAGCACTCCATGTCTTCCACCTTCCCCACTCTCTGGCAAGAGTATTGGAAGAGCCAGCTGGAAAGCAGCAAGTATTTTTGGAAGTAAGGGTAATCCCAGCTTTTCCCAAATTCTCCATATCATAAAAAAGTTAGGGCAGGGTCGGGGGGAAGTAAATGTTACCCAGTTCCATCCACCTCCCTCTCTCCATCCTGCCTGCTGTCTCTACAATTTCTGACTGGAGGCAGGACACGTTGAGGCAACGGGCTGAAGTCCCATCTCCTTTTCGTGGGGGCTGCTGCACTTGTAATCTATGGTGGCGGGAGGTCTGCAGCGCTTCTTCACCAGGTGGTAGACCAGGGCCAACACAGCCAGGGCCGCGGAGAGGACACCCACAGCCATGCCCACCAGCACGCCAGGGTGGAGGTGGTCCGCCTTTGGTGGAGTCTGGCTGGGGACAGGCGTCTGGGGTCCGGGACCGAAATCCCCCGAGAACGCTCCCTCCCCATCCTTCTCCAGGATTTCGACACAGTGGTTCTGGTCAAGGAGCTGGTAGCCGTCATGGCAGTGGCACTCATAGCCGCCAGGGTGGTTGGTGCAGTTGTGTTCGCAGAAGTTCATGTCGCACTCATCGATGTCCACGCAGACCTGCTTGCCGTCAGCTTCGTGGTCCAGCAAGAAACCTTCGGGGCACTCACAGGACAGGGTGCGCGGGTCGCATGCAGCCGGGCACTGGCTGCGGTTGCAGTGGAGCAGGCAATGGGTGGGCTTCTGGGGGTCAACAGCATAGCCAGGGAAGCAGCTGCAGCGGTACCTGTCGGGCATGTTCTCACATAGGTGCTCACAGGGTGCTTCATAGCAGTGGGAGACGCGCCGGCAGTGTCCCTCCAGCATCTCATAGCCTCGGTGGCAGCGGCACTCAAAGCCACCCTCGGT